AAGGTCTAGTACTGAAACGTCGCAAATAAATTTTATATTGCAAGTCAGACAGTGTGTGGGAGTCCTTTTGCAATCACAGTACTTGTAACATGTTAATCCTATTATAAGTGGTACTACATGTCATTCTTGCTGATAATACTGGCTGTGGCATTGTGTGCTATTGCTTTGGCTGTATGGAACATGCAATATCATGAACATCAAACAAAATGTCCTCTAAAATAAATAGAATCAACACACAAAAATTATTTTACTACACTGACCTTCTCTCTATATTTGTGTTCTCTCATTAACCTGCTTAACAGCCTCCTGATTTGTGAAACAAGGAGCGGTGCTGAGTTTCTTATGTTCTGCAGGTAGCTCAGATTCTCTCTTTGTATGCTACATTGATCCGTCTGGATGAGAATGAGAACCACAGAGATGCAGAAAAGCCCCAGGTGCAGAGTAAATTGTGTGGCCTACACGGTCATGGCTCGGTGAAACACTAGTCAGATATATTTTCAGGGGCTCCGGTGTCGGCACTGCCACTGTTGCTGTAGAGGAGGGAGCACGGAGAGGTTAGCAGGTCATGTCTGCACTCAGCCAAGCTCAGTTTAAAGCCAAGGTACTCTGGGTGGCATCGATATGTCAGTGACATCAGACAACAAATGGAGTGATTAGATGAGCTTTGTTTTTTTCTTGGCTGTGAAGCTAATGAGAATATTTAGAGACGCATAAAAGAGAATGATGATTGAAAATGAACATGAAACCCATCAAGTCAGATCATATTTATAATCCTGGCTCCAGTGGCGACCCCAGAGAGTTATCATAGGGGTGGCCATCTGGGGAAAATCTTGGGCTTATCTCATCCTTCACTCAGAGGGTAAGGGGCTCCCAGATGTCATTGTTTTCCCAATTTGCGGACATTTTCAGCTGTTGTTCTTCCTTGAGTTAGCTGCTAACTGGTATAGGCTACTTTTTAAATCTCCCACGGTGGGTTGAATGCATAACATGTCGTCAAAATGTCACACCCATGATCCTCTCCTGCCGGCTGTCCCATTTATACAGATGCCGTTTCAGCAGTGTTACTACCACTGTTCCTAGCTCAGAGGCGAGGCAACTCTGTCCACCCATTCCACAATCATACCTTTTATACAGAACAATGAGGCGTTATAATGACACAATATTGCCGCCTTGAACAGGCAGTGTAAGCCCTGTGATAGTCTGGCGACCTGTTCAGGGTGTACCCCTCCTCTTGCCCAATGACAGCTGGGAATGGCTCCAGCGCCCCAGTGACCATGAACAGCATAAGCAGTTACAGATAATGAAGGAATGAATGAATGAATTTTCAGTAAAGACAGGGTCAAAATTTGCATCAGTGTGGCCTTGGCCCCCCTTGCCATCCCTTGGCACCACCACTGCCTGGCTCAATCCCCAAACTGAAGACTGACTTTAAACAATCATTAAACTGAAGTGTTTTAACTATCCGACAACTCACAGCAGAATGATTTTTGCTTATTTAACACATATTGAATATGATGATTTTATTTTAACGATCCATCTTATATGACGGATCAACACAAACACTTTTTTTTACATTCTTCTGAAATATACATTTTTTTTCTTTAAAGCAAAGCACCATTTTGATCACAGTAACACTTCATGTAAGTAATTTGACATCATGCTTGCAGGCATACACTTCTCCTTAGACAATAGTATATCAATGGTGCATTAGAAAAAGTGAAGTTGTTCAGGAGCCATGTAGTTTTGCTTGGGTTGATGAGTAGCACACAGCGACACTATCTCCCCACAGTGGCATGAGAGGTTCTTAAACCTAAAATCACGTCCTGGAGCTTTCTCCCTGATTATCTTGGAAATACCTCTACAAACATGATGCTGATTTCAGAACCTGGATCGTCATTTGACTTTTTATGGCCAAAAAGAGTTTTGTTTCATAGTTCTAGCAGTTCAAAATCACAAATTCTGCAGACAGAGCTTTGGCTAATACCTGAAAACTTACATACAGCCTCTTTTACAGTCTTGGCACCTGCTGCATATTAGTTTTACAGCGGAATGCAAAACTTTCTGAACCGATTGCTTTGTACTTGAAGATCTGTCTTAGCTGCTAAACGTTTGTTCTCTGAGGAGCATTCACAGTCATAAGCAACAGACTTATTGTAGCGGCATAAATTCCAAACAGACATCATTATGAACTCCACCTGTAGAGTTTGTGGGGGCTCCAACAGTCTGGGGATGATTAGAAAAGGAAGACAAAGCTTACGGCAAAGCTTTTACTAAGCTGGAAGTATTTGTTTAGATAATATTCATTGATTGGTTTTGATAATATTTAATTGTGGTATATTCTTTCTTAATCCTTATGTTACACTTTGCCATTGTTTGTTTTTGTCCTGTGTCATTAAGATGTTTGTGTTTGCTACATTTCCTTGTGAAACATTAAAATCATCCTGTTGCTCTATTCCTCAACAGCTGTGCAAGTTCTTCCTAAAATTATTCCAGCTGTCATCATCCAGCTGTTAGTGCTGTATACCTGTGGGGATTGTTGGAGTCAGTTACCTGCTAAAGTTTTATTATTTCAGCCATGAGCCAAACATTCAGCCCATCAGTCATTTTGGCTATGATGAAAATAGCAGATAGCTCAATTCAGAATTCATACTGTGCATTTTATTGTCACTGCAACACTTGTATTTTAAAGTTGACACATGTAATTTTCACACAATGGCACTGATAATGAGTCATGTGTTAACCTTGGACTGTCCAAATATGTGAACCCAGAAAGTTTGGTTTGGGTGTAGCTTGGGTGTAGTTTGGGTGTAGTTTTTTGACTTGGAATTTTGCAGTTGACACTCACTTTCAACTCAAGGTAAGACATTGAGAACAAATTTATTTTAATTAACCCTTATTTAACCAGGAGAAAAAGCAAGGCCACAGCTATGGTGTCACTAATGGGAGGGAACAAGCTTTGACTTCAAAATTTAAAGTCATTCCCTATTATATTATGTTATATTATATTATATTGTAATGAATTATATTATGTTATATTATGTTATATTATATCATATTGCATTTATCAATGCAACACTACACTATACAAATGCAATAAATGACAGCTACTAGGCCTGCTGTCTACATAAATTACACATGTAGTGCAACATGAATGATTGAAACTTTACCCAGGGGTATCTGACAAATATAACATAGGCTAATTAAGACATTAATGTTAGTTGAATACGCCTGTGAGCACCATTGCTGGTTGCTGGGTGAATGTGTGGCTACTTAACTGCAGGTCACTTAGCTGTGATAGCTAAAATTAGTGGTGATTGATTGATCAGTTTGACCAAAAATATTTGTTTCCACTTGCAATTAGTGACACTTAATAGCAAAATATTGCTCTGCACGTTTTATTACAAATGCAACGTCACTTACTCATCACTGCAGCCTTTAGGATTTGGTGGGTTGGACATCACTGACCATTCTAAGACAACAGCACTGGTATATTTTTTATGCTTTATAGATATAAGGCAATACTGGGCAACCTTCCAGCCTACCTCTGCACCCTTCTGAGTGTCAGCTCTGGTAGTTACCAGCTACGCTCCTCCAGGTGGTTGCTTTTTAATGTACCCCAAGTTTTAGCAGATCTGGGGAAAAGTTTTCATTTTCCTACTGTGCACCATGGACATGGAACAATCTTCAAAAGATGTAAAATTAGAAGCACTTATATCCATGAATGAAGTTAAGGGCATCATAAAGAATATGGTGACAGAGACATGTGCTTGTTTTTCTTGAGAGGTCACTATGTTTCCATAGTTTAATTGTGGATTTTTGTGTTATATGTTGTATTTGTTGCATTTTTTATGTGTTTTGATTGGCTGCTACCTCGGCCAGGTCTCTCTTGTAAAAGAGATTTTCAATCGCAATGGGACTTCCTGGTTAAATAAAGGTTAAATTAATACAATTATGTATTTCCACAAATTGTATTTGTGTGTGTGTGTGTGTGTGTGTGTGTGTGTGTGTTCAGTATATATTAGTGCCTTGTCTTGAGAAAAATACACATTGAGATTAAAAATCAATCAAGAGTATCCTGACCAACACAGCAGCACATACAGACATGAGGTTGCAGACATGAAACAAACAATATAACAACAAATAATCTAGTAAAAATGAACCAGATTTTCCCCAGCATACACAGACACAAGTTACGTTTTTTTTTAATCTGACCTAGTTTGAAATGCATAGATGATAACTACAACTTTTCTTGCCTAATGTTTCCTAATATTGCAAAAAAACCTTCACAAAATCAGCAAAAATTGCCATAGTTATGCAACACATATAAAGAACTTTTCAAAAGTGCAAACCTTTGCCTCTTGTGTGTCTGTATCTGTATTTGTTGTATCAAATAAACAATCATATAGGCCTATATGCTCTACATACACACACTCTGACATGTATTCTTTTGTTCATGCAGCAGATTAATGTTAAACCAATGAGAAGAGTGACACCGTGTGGTGCAAACTGGGACCTGCGTCACTGCTTCCAGTCAAGCTCTCTGCCTAATACTGTAAGGTATAAAGTACAAGTGTTGGTCTGTTTAGCTCCCACATACTGTACCTAGTTTTACATTTGAATATGTGGGCTGAAATATAATAGCATTTTGTCTGAGACTATCTTTAAAATTATGCTATTAATATGGTGGGGGTAGATTGTGAGTAAATTATTCATAATAGGCTAATTTATTTCATTGTTATTCTAGCTTATTTTAATTCATTATTGTTTACTTTATATTTAGGTTTAGTTCTGGGTTTTGGTCTTTTTTTTGTCTCTGTACCGAGGCGTTTAACTGCTCTATTAGCCAGCATTTGTTTCCGCCACATGAACGGTGCTGTTGTTGTGAAATTACTCATCGATAGTAATTATGATGGATGCTTTGAATGACCTGCTGCTCCTCTGTAAAATGCATACAAGGCAAGCCCGTGCAGGGCTGTCCAAGAAACCCCATCGACGAGACAAAACTCGAGGCGTGAACGTGGCAGCCATTTTACATCATCAAGAGTGAATGACTGAAGCCGGATCAGTGCCGGGAGTTTTACACTTTTTCTGTCTTTTAAATATCACATTTATCTTCCTAAATAATCAACACCATACACGTTGGTGATCCAGCGGCAGGTAGGGCGAATGCTACTGTTTGGTCACGTGATTGTTGCTTAATTGATTGCTAAAAAGTCTGAATCGTGCGGTGCTGTTTCAAACAATGTGGAAACTGGTGGTGGTTGGGAACGAGTTCTCCAGACCGGCTTTTTGAAAATGGACTCTTCCTATATGGCGGCACGTTGACAAACCACGCATCTAGCAGGCTAAAGCTCTAGCTCTCAAGGCCTCGGTGAAGCTAATTAATTGTAAAAGCCATACTTTGTGAATTGGCGAAGCCCTTACCGACAGATGACGTTGTAACAATGGCCTCACTGAAATTCCGTCCGAATTAGCATGCTAGCTTGAGCTAGCCTATTTTGACAGATCATGGAATTGACATGCTCATTGTCATCGTATGCTAACAGCAGCTAGCTGGTAAAACCCAGCTATCTAGCAACAATTTACGGTCATGCCTTACTGCTATATAAACTGACACACTCTTCGCCGTCCACAATACGAAATGCAGATGCATTCATAGGAAATGCACACCAGCTCGTCATGTTATTGTCCCGATGAAGGTCCCAAGTTGGCTTGCTGGCTGTAACATTAGCTGTGCAAACTAGCCCGCTAGCTAGCTAGCTAGCCTCAACGTGTGCGAATCAGACTCTCCCCGCTAAATCTAGCGTTACCATTAACATCGGTTAAAATGAATTATTTCCACAGATTTGTCAACATCACATATTTTAAATCCAAAATGGGTTCGCACGAGGGCTTTCCAGTTACTTTGATGGTTGCAGAAATGTTTTTAACCTCAGAGAAAGCACGTGCTTACCGATATAATGGTATTGATTAACAGACCTATAAAGATATCGGCTGCATGGTGTATTAGAGCTAATATTAGCGAAGGGTAACGGCAGCTAAGTTAACGTTAGGCCAAAACACAAGATTGCCGTCCACGTTTTGCTCAGTCCAGCGGTGCCGGATACAGAAATGTGATCATGGAGCACTTAGATTGCTGTTTGCACAAGTTCGTGCCCCAGTATGTGTCTAAACAAACTACTGGGAGTAATGGTTGGTTACTAAAGTGACGATTGGGGGTACTTTCCGTAGTGACACAGTATGTGCTGCCAAAGTGTCAAAATCAAAATGCAATAGGGTGCATACTTGTTCACTGGTCAGCTACCGGAAACCGGGGCTCACTCTCTGATGGAACACGTGTATCGGCTATCTAGCCTGTGCTGAAGTCAGCAGTGAGAAGGTAAGTTAACATGTAATTTAGAGACCAAAGCGGACAAGGCGTTTACACCAGCAGCCACCAAGAGGACTGTGATACAGGCGTTAGGCACCATTTGCACAAACTTCTCAACCCAGGACAAACCAGACTGGAAAATACTGCCACATGGACACACACCAAGTAGCTTTTACGCGATATCAGTCGATTGATTTCTGTGGGGAATTTGGTATGTGCATTATCTGTCTTGCGTGCAATGTTGAAACATCTGTCAACTGCCTATATACAGGTTTCTGGGCTTCTATCTCATGCAAGCTGAGAGCTGCGAGTGTTATGTCAGGATAGTGAAAAGTCTCCAGACTGTGCAGGAACGCACAACAGTGATAACTTGTTTTGCACACAGTGACACCCCCTGTTTATTGATAATTTGTGCATATATGAATACAAAAGTCACTCTGTATCCAAGATCAGAAATGGTCAAACCATTTTAAATGCTTTTTTAAATTATTTTCCTGACATGCCTGAGACTTTGCACTCTTCTGAATACATCCCAAGTCTTGCCCTTGACCCAGGATTAATTTGGCTCATTGCATTTACACAGATTTCTGGAGACATGGCCACAGAACATATTAATGGAAATGGTCCAGAAGAACCAATGGACACCTCTGCTGCAGTTACCCATTCTGAGCACTTCCAGACTTTATTAGAAGCTGGTTTACCACAGAAAGTTGCTGAAAAACTAGATGAAATTTACATAGCAGGTAAGGCACAATGAATATACTTGCATATTCAAATATGCAATTTTTTTTATGTTTATCAACTTCTTGCATGTACTGTCATTTTATCACCTTTTTGAATGGGGGAATTGGGATCATGAAGCAACTTTTTGTGGTTTCCTACCAAAATGGGTACTGCAGTGCTACAAAATATTAAATTACACATTACCAATGTGAAAATGTGTAAATGATTGCAGCATTTGCATTCCCAACATGGTTGCATGATCACTGGTGTCAGGGCGAATGAATTGTCCTCTCCCTGCGAGTGTCTTGGTTAGCCTGTCCAGTCTCTCCATTCATTTCTATTAAGTTTCCCCACATCCCATGAAATTATTGCAGTAGGGATGAGCTGGTGTAAGTATGATATCAGGCACAGCTTAGGTTATCTGTTGCTTTGGTCACATCTTTATCAGTTTGTGTGGAGGGAGCTGCAGTGACAAAGTCTGGGGGTCATTTTAGGACTTGTTTGGTCAGTCAGATCTACAAAAGTACTGCTCTGGCCTTTTCAGCCAGATGGGGCCAAGACAGAAACAATGGCAGCAGCTGTCTGGTGTGTGGCTGCCTGGGACAGGTGACGGCCCCTCCATAGAGAAGAATGCAGCCCGTCTCATTAGAAACTCCCAGCCACAGTATAGAGGGGCACTGGCATATCGAGTTGCACTGTCACATCTGTTGTGATTAGTTCTGCAAAAACTTGCCGGTTTGGAGAGCAAAGTGCAGCCTGACCACTGAATACAGCTCCATTAGATTAGGCTGGTCCCACTCCTTCCTCCAAATTGCAGTGCTCATTACATATCCATTACACAACTTGAAAATATATTTGTCATGCTAAGTGACTCGCATGCAAATGTTTCAGTTGTACTTAAATTTCTGTGCCTGAATGATGACGTAGTAATGCAAAATTTATCAGTCTTCTTTATTAGTAGCTCATTGTTTCTCTCTCTGTCTTTCCCCCTCCTCCTCCTACAGGTTTGGTGTCACACAGTGACTTAGATGATCGAGCGATCGAGGCTCTGAAAGAATTCAACGAAGAAGGTGCTCTGCAAGTCCTTTTGCAATTTAAGGACAGCGACCTCTCACATGTTCAGGTATGCCTGTGGCACTGTTGGTGTATTATTTAGATAACTTGGACCTTTCATTTCTGATGCCTTGATATAAAGTGGATGATTGTCCTATAATGTGCAGTGTGATGTAAAGTGGCACTGTAGAGTTGAATTGTAGTTGCACAATAGCTCTTAGCTGTTACTGATTTTATCTTGAAAGACAGACCTTTTCTATCTTGTGTAACAGCTTACTCATTTTGTGTGAAACCAAGAATCAAACATTGGCCTATTGATACGTTTTATTTACATAATTATTGTTCGATAGTACTTAGTCGTTGTGTTTTTTTTTTCCCTTTCAGAACAAAAGTGCCTTTCTTTGTGGCGTGATGAAGACGTACAGACAGAGAGAGAAACAAGGGACCAAAGTGTCAGACACCAATAAAGGACCAGATGAAGCCAAAATCAAAGTGAGAACTAATTCTCTGTCCAGAAAGTTGTAACTAATTTCATGCTCGGGACAAAATGTGTGAATGCTGATGCGATGCTTTTGAGTGTGAAAATATTTAATCTCTGTAACCAGGATGCTGTTTGAATATGAGACACATTCAAATATGATTTTTTTTGTCCTTTTTTTTGCACACTTTTAATGTGCTTTTTCGCATTTTTAAAAAATTACCTGTAGTTTTTTTTTTTTTTTTTGTAACAAACATTCTGTAAAACTGGTGTAAAGAAACGGCTCCCACATTTTTCACAGATGTCAATTCAGATTCTGTTACTACCTCCACTGCCAGCTTAACAGCAGAACAGCACTGCTCCTCCATTACTTGTTTGTTTTATCCAGAGTGGCAGAATAATGGTGCAACATTCCCCTCTTGAACAGACTGTATGAAACGGGCTTGTGACTGTTAATTAAACCAGTGGTTCCCAACTGGTCCAGTCACTGGGTCCAGATTTCTCTTTAGTCATAAGTTCAAGATCCACACAGTTTAATATATTCAGCGTCATACTTGAGTTTGATGTTGTCGAGCTGGTTTGCTGTCTCTGTCAAGTAGCTGTCTGTTACTCACTCACTGTGCAGCAGGAAGTGGCATTTCAGAATAAAACCTCTGTGCCAGAAGTTCATTGTGCTTCAAAATAGTGTTTTTACAAACTTGACATGTTCATGAGTCACTTGGAATTAATTCAGAATCAATTTGCAACTGACTTTTGGACCGTGACCTACCGGTTTGGAACCATCAAATTAAACTGTAGCCTTCTTTCTTTTCCATGTTTTCTTGTGATCAGGCTTTGCTGGAGAGGACTGGCTACACACTTGATGTGACAACAGGCCAGAGGAAGTATGGAGGTCCCCCGCCAGAGTCTGCTCACTCAGGGGCACAGCCCACCATCGGTACAGAGGTACAGAACATGCCACCTTGAAGTTGTACTACTCATTGAGCCTGGAGATGCAAGAACGGTGCACTTTTACTTACTCACTCTGTTGAGTTGGTTGTTCTAAGCTGTGGGCTGAGTGCATTCAGGTTTCGTGCGGTGTCCAAATGATGAAACTTTTATTGTCATGCTGTAGTAACCATGGTTACACTGATAGTTTACCGCTAAGAGCTGACTGGATACCTTTTTCCCTAAATACCATCTATGCCTTGTCTTTCCCGCAGATGTCAAGTTAAAGAGCTGCTCTCATGAACCATATTTTCCTCTCCTCTCAACCTGGCAGATATTTGTAGGCAAAATCCCCAGAGATCTCTTTGAGGACGAGCTGGTTCCACTGTTTGAGAAAGCTGGCCCCATCTGGGACTTGCGCCTGATGATGGATCCTCTCAGTGGCCTGAACAGAGGCTACGCCTTTGTCACTTTCTGCACTAAAGAAGCTGCACAGCAGGCTGTCAAATTGGTAGGTTCATTGTACTGCAAGTATGCCCAGATAAAGAGAGGCTCTGATTGAATTGTTAGTTAAAATGCAGACAGAAGAATGAGTCAACAAGGAAGCTATGTTTTTTTTCCTCTCACTTACAATCTCCTACATCCTTCTGCAGTGCAACAACAATGAAATTCGACCGGGTAAACACATCGGCGTGTGCATCTCTGTGGCCAATAATAGACTGTTTGTTGGCTCCATCCCCAAGAGTAAAACAAAAGAGCAGATTGTTGAAGAATTTGCAAAAGTCACAGGTGAGTCAGTAGCAGCCTTTGATTTCTCTTTATGTATAATAGTGTAACATTAATTCAGCAGCTTCATTCCTACATGTTCGTAATATTTATGTTTTGCTTGTCGGACAATTGTGATGAGATTAGCTCTGCGTTTAAGGTTTGTAATATAAGAATCAGTGGGTGAAGCTTTTGACAGTCTGTCTATGTGTCCAAATGATGACCTCATTACTATGCCGGAGTGACTCACGTTACCATGATGGCTTACCGCTAAGATCTGACTGGGCATTTAATGTAGTTAATTCGCTTTTTGACTTAAGACATTTCCTGCACTCAAGGTTAAAGTGAAAATCTTCTTTTCACACTTTTCATAATTAGTTTTTTAATCAAGCTTTTAAATTACAGAATTTATTTTGTTTCTTAATGCAGATTTGTTAGTAGGTCATTGATTTAATGGTGATTTCTGTCGAATAAATCCAGTTAACCCCCTGTTGCCTTTTCTCCTCCTCTCTCTCCTGTTACAGAGGGTCTAAATGATGTCATATTATACCACCAGCCAGACGACAAGAAGAAAAATCGAGGCTTTTGCTTCCTGGAGTATGAAGACCACAAGACGGCAGCTCAGGCCCGCCGCCGGCTCATGAGCGGCAAGGTGAAGGTGTGGGGCAATGTGGTCACCGTGGAGTGGGCTGATCCCATCGAGGACCCAGACCCAGAGGTCATGGCCAAGGTAAGGCACAGGGCCAGAGGACAGGGACCAGAATAAGTTTCTGACTGTCTCCTGCTGTTGTGTTTGTTCCTTTTTCCTGCAAAAAAACCCCCAAAGAAACCTGAAATCTGTGTTTTCATCACCAGGTCAAGGTGCTGTTTGTGAGGAACTTGGCGAGCACTGTTACAGAAGAGATACTTGAAAAGGCCTTCAGTCAGTTTGGCAAACTGGAGCGGGTGAAAAAATTGAAAGACTATGCCTTCATCCACTTCGAGGAAAGAGATGGTGCTGTGAAGGTATGGATGAAAAAAGCCCTTGACGCTGCACTTCTAAAGAAGATGTTTATTATGAGATTTAACAAGTTTGTTGTGATTTCAGTGGAAACATTTACTTTCATGTTGAATTTACAGGCTTTGGCTGATCTCAACGGCAAAGACCTGGAGGGTGAGCACATTGAAATTGTCTTCGCCAAACCCCCCGACCAGAAGAGGAAAGAGCGCAAAGCCCAGAGACAAGCCGCTAAAACACAAATGTAAGCGCAAACAATGCAGCTCAACCCCGTGACCTTTTAGTCTTGCGGTTATCAAATCTTGATATAAAGCAGGATGATAATGTTGAGTCTGTGTTTCGTCTTTCAGGTATGATGAATACTATTATTACGGGCCTCCCCACATGCCACCACCCACAAGAGGCAGAGGCCGAGGTGGGCGGGGAGGTTATTCGTACCCCCCTGACTATTATGGCTATGAAGACTATTACGATTACTACGGATACGACTACCACAACTATCGGGGCGGCTATGAGGACCCGTACTATGGCTATGACGACTTCCAGGGGTCCGGGAGAGTACGAGGAGCGAGGGGAGGAGTCCGTGGAGGTGCCAGTCAGACCAGGGGCCGTGGTGGCGTCACACCGAGGGGCCGAGTGGGCTTCTCCCAGCGAGGGGGCCCTGGAACAAGCAGAGGTAAATTAGATTTGTCTGTGAGATGCTGTTAGTTTCAAAGTGGGTGACATCATCATTATGCTCTATTGGGGTCTCTTAATATAAGAGAAAATATGACTCGTGCGCTCAGTCTTGGTGTCTGCATATTTTCTGTCTGTGCACAGCTATCAAAACATCCACTTAAGCAAACGACAGGGATGGAAGGGGTGTAGCAGATTAGCAAATGAGTGCAGCTGTAGAGAGGGAAAATTGAGTTGAGTGCAGGTATTGATTGCCTTAAAATGCAGTTTGTAGTAATTATAAGGCTGCACTTAAACTGAAGTTACACCTGCTTATTGGCCTCATAACTAATCCCTGACAGGTGTCATCTTTCAGAGCAGCCAGTCAGTTTGGCAGCAGACAAAGGTCATTGACAACGTACTGTATTTTTAAGGTGGTCAGCCTCGTGGCAAACACTGTCCTCAGTCTGAATTTTGTGGAATTTTATTAGTGTGTCAGCATGCTGATTGATGGGGAATGTTTGCAACACGAGTGTTGGAGTGAAAGAGTCAAAATTCTGTACTAATTTTATGTGTCCTCTCATTGGTCCAGCAGGGAAACGGGGCCGAGGGCGGTCCTGACCTGTCACAGTGGATACTGACTTGATGTGTGGGGTTACACCGTAAGCTGCAATGGATGTTGAAACAAAAAAAAAGAAAAAAAGAGCACGACAAAAAGGTCCAATGATATTCCAGCCTTACAGAAGAAGCATCTTCCCCCTCCCCCCATGTTTTTTTATTTTTATTTGTTTCTGAAACTGCCACCTTAAAAAAAAAGAAAGGAAAAAAAAA